TCTTTACATAAAACTCTCTCTTATACATGTGTTGCTGTGGATTTGTTTCTCTAAAGTACCTAGACTAATACAATGGGGAACCAGATTTTCCAACCTACACAGAGCTGAGTACATTTGCTCTGAGGCTAAGGGGTGGAGGGGGCTCTGCATCCTCAGAGCTAAAAGACTTTTGTAACATTTGTCCAATCAGGACAGAAGCCAGGGGGCTTCAGAGACTGACCTTACCTGCAGGTATGGCTGTCAAGATGCTGTCCCAAGTAAGAATTGTATCATGAGTCAGTTATGATCCTGAATTCTGTGTTGGGATAGAAAAGTGGTCCCTGTGTCAAATAAAATTTTAATAGAACATTTATTAAATTTTAAGAGACAAAAAACACACACACATACATCATATGGATTTGGAAAGACATTAGCACGAGGTCAAAATAACAACTGAGGATTCACACATAGGACCCTGGATAAGTACAGCATAGAACAAATGACATGTCAGAGCATCATTGGTGGCAAATCAATACATCACAGATACAGGTGGGACTGCAGCAGCAGGAATGGGACCATGATTAGGACATGCATATCATTAGATAAAGGACTTACAAATTTGGTCTAGGGTCTTCACACAAAGCCAGTCGTGGCCAGACTCACGACAATAGCCCCCTGTCCTCAGTAAGGTGATCTCCATCAAGCATACACCTAAGCAGGCCCATGGAGAGGGGCTGGCTGGAAAGGCGTGCAGGCAATCTATTTCTAAGGCATGCTCCCCGAGGAGAAGATGATCTACAATTTGGTTAATGATCAGAAAGAATTCAATGGAGGCTTAGTCAAAGTGGGGACACACTGAGTTGTCACTGTCCTCAGCAACCCAAACCTAAAACCCAACTCACTGCCATCGAGTGGATTCCGGTTATAGCGACCCTTTAGAACAGAGTAGAACTGCCCCTTGGGGGTTAAATTAGAATCCCTGTCTTTCTCCCAGTTGTGACTTGTAATACTGAACCACTGACCTTGTAGTTAGCAGCCCAATCTGTAAACACTAGGCCACCAGCCTTTTGCACATTGGAGTGCTCAGAACTTAAGTTCTAATGCAATTATAGACGGCTACTCACCTAGTGAATTCTACCATTCTGGGAGATGCGCAAAGACCTCGGACCCTGACCAGAGGGGCAGCCTGGGCCATCGTGCACAGGCGCTCTCCCCGGTCAGACCCCAGAAAGCGGGGATCCCCCTGCTTTCCCTCAGGCACGTCCACACGTCCTTGGCCCTGGTTCAAAGATAGAAACGCACTTGTTCTCCTCCTTCCGCATCAGTCGTTCCGGTAACTTACAAGTTCCACAGCTCTGCCGCGCCGTACATTGCTAGGCAAACCCCGGCGCAGGCGCCTGCGTGGCCGGGCCCTAACTACGGCGCCCGCCAAGGACCACGATACGCGTCGGGAGCGCGAGAAACGGACTTCCGGCCCCGCCCTTCAGGGACGAGGTGCAGGGCGCCCTGTTCCAACAATTTCCGTTGCAAAGGCCTTACCCAAAACAGTGGACAGCACACCACACTGGTTCATGAGGTTATTCAAACATATTATATGTGTGTGTGTGTGTGTGTGTGTGTGTGTGTGTGTGTGTGTGTGTGTGTGTGTGTATAATGTTTCTGTGTTCTGGGAAATATCAAATATTGTAACCTACTGCTCTGAAATTTCATTATCTGGGATCATTTAAATGATTAGCATTCAAATGATGCTCTCTCCCTGTACTTTCATTTCTCATTATACCATCATCCCCCCCCCCCCAAAAAAAAAAAAGAAATCTTGGTCATTATCTCTGATGTCCAGTTTGATAGGGGTGGTCACACGTGTCTAGCTAACACATGAAATGTGATTAATATAATTTAAAAACTGGATTTTTAAGCTTTGAGCTTTGTATTTTAAAATAGTCACTTTAATACCATAAAGTTTTTGCTAATCTATTTAGTAATCACAACTCAGAAAAATTGTTAATGAGTTTTTAATAACTTTGGGGGAGGTGTGTAATTATGGTACAGCTTAATTATGTGCGTACTTCACACTGGAATAGAATCATAATCAGCATAAAGGTGATTACTAGGAGGTCAGATATACCACTCCCATTCTCCAATTCCTTCACCATTTAAAAACCTAACAGTTCCTGGTACTTCACTCCCTGCTTAGCTGGGTTTGACAACTCCACCCGCTAGCTGCACAGACTCACACCACACTCACAGGTATATGCTTAATTGGGGGTGGAAACAGGCTACACATTGGGGTCAAAATTAATTTGGATGTAACAAGATATAAATAGGATGTAGTTGGCCAACCAGGGGAGCTTTGTCAGCAGATAACCCTTGGAACATAAATAGTCCCTGCTGATATAAGTCTTGATATAAGCCTTGGACTATTCTCTGCCACTGTGGTCTCTCTGCTGCTAACTGATCTTACTCCAGGTCAGTATAGTAGCTCTGTCTTCAGGTCTCTCCACGATCAGCCTTTCTCCTGCTATGGGACCCAGCTCACAAGCAGTAAGTAGAGAGCAGATATCTCAGCCATTACCTGCTATCTACATTGAGAATACTTTATCTGAGCACCTGACTCACTGTCTCCAGGTGCAACCATATGGGTTGGACCAGGACTTGTAAAACTCACAGATATTGTACCACACCTGTTCTGTCTGTAGATTCCTTAAATCAGCAGTGGGTAGGTATACTATGGAGTGTTGAGAGCACAGACTATACTCCTACCCTGATATTTTACATTATTGTCTGTAAGTGTTCTTTAATTTATCAATTAAAATTTTCTTCAAAAAATAAATGCCCACTTTGTTTTTCTTTTTATTCAGTTACCTTCTTTGTTACCTCGTGTATGATACAATGTCTAACACATTTTTTGACATTTTCCTTTAGATTTTTAAACATAATCATGATATTTAGTTGAGTTTTGTATTTAACTTCCTAGTATGTCTTGCATCAAGTATGAATCTCATATTGATGTTGTATGAATTACAACCCTTTCATACTCTTTTCTATTACCCGTAACTTTTTGTTGGTAAATGGGCATGTTCAGTATGACCATACATATCAGGATATTGTATTGTGTAAGACTTTTCTCTTGTAGACGGATTATGACCTAATCCCTGCTAAACTTTTATGGTCCAGATTTGTTAAAATATAGTCAGGGCTCCATTTGTAGTTAACTATAAGCAATGCCCATCAGGTAAAATTCATTTTTACTAAAAATACCAAGGTCTCAGATTCCTGTATAAAACATCATTTATAATTTTGTTTGATTTTGTCTTCACTTGTGCTCTCCTTGGAGAGATTTTAACTTCCCTGGTGCATCCTGGTGTTATTTTTACTCTACGATGCTCGCTGCTGTGGTACGGTTTGTGCCACGGGCATTTCTTTGGTCTTTTGACTGAGCCTCATTTCTAGGCAGGCATCCTGAACCTGAATTCTGAGATATGTCTTTCTAAGTGTTCTTTTCCTCCTGCAACAGTTCTACTGGTCTAGCAGCTGTGCCTGCTATTTCCCATGGGATAGTGTACCTTTTCTTCCAAGTTGTTCATTCCCTTGCTGCAAAAAGTTTTCACCAGTACCTTGAGCTACAAACTTTTTTGTTCTTCCTCTTCAGATTGAAGACTTTATGCCTAAACAAATCATTCTGGACATGATTTCAGACTTGTTCTGTTAGATATGTATTTTTATGAATTTATACCCAACCTTTCGCTCATTTTGCTCTGCTTAGAGTCAGGAGAGATAGGTCTACCCTGTTTCCCAGAAAATAAGACAGTGTTTTATATTAATTTTTGCTCCCAAAGATGCGCTAGGTCTTATTTTCAGGGAATGTCTTATTTTTCCATGTAGAAGAATACAGTACACATTTATTGTTGAACAACCAAAAAAGGAAATTTATTACCTATATACAGTATAGTTGTAGTTGTCATCACAAACCAGCATTACCAGACAAACTTCGAATCCTACAGTATCAAGAATTCCTTGTTACTACCATTATTTCCATTTACAACAATCTATGGTACATTTATTCAATGACAGTCATGTCATCATCTTCTGGAACATCATCATAACAATCCAAACCCTTATTTTCAGGGAGGTCTTAGTTTGGGGGGGATGCCTCATATTTCAGCAAGAGGCAAAACTGTAAGTAGGTCTTATTTTCAGGGGATGTCTTACTTTCAGGGAAACAGGGTAGGACAAAGGCCATGTGCCAATTCAGCCAGGAAGTGGGGGAGTTACACCTAGGTGGGCAGTACAATCTAGACCAGGTGGGCTTAATTAAATCAATGGGGTCAATCAGTACCTTCGGCCATGCTTCCCAGCAGAAGGCCTGCCAAAAGGTCAGAACCTGAGATGACCCTTGCTTTTTTCCAGCTGTTCCTCTTTGATGTGCCTCACAGCAAGCCTGCCCTGTGTTCTCTCTCTCTCTCTCTCTCTCTCTTTCTCTCTCTCTCTCTCTCTTTCTCTGGCCTCAGCCTGACACGTGGGTGTGCAGTGTCCTGAGGGTGCTTGTGTTCAGTGACTGCAATGCTTGAAACTTCTTCTCTCCTTTGTTAGACCCACTTGGATCACAAACTAGGCTTCTGCCAGGTATTTCCCACTGTGAACAGGCTTCCTTGGAGTGGCATCCTGCTGTGCGTAAAGGGGCCCTCTGAGAAGCAAGAAGAGGGAAGCCAATCCCAGCAAGAGCCCCAAGAGTGCATCCTTTGTATCTGAGATCCATGCAAAGTGAACTTCTTGGATCCAGAAGACATGATAGAAACAGCAGCAGATCCAGAAGCCAGAGCATGGAGCAGTGTGAACCCAAGGTGCAAGGACAGCTGAGTGCGTTTATGCAGGAGACTGGCTTGTGGAGAGAGGAGCCTCTGGGCACTGAATTGGAGAAGTGGAGCTGAGTGCCTCTGCTGAGGCTTACTGGAGTGGGTGCCTCTGGACACTGACTTCAAGGAGAAGGGTTTGCTGATCTTGAGCTGAGTGACTTGGGTCGAGGCTTGGTCAATTACAGCTTCCCTCTTTGTTTCTTTGTCAGTGTGTTCAGGGTTTGAGTGATCTTTAAAAAGAATCTACTTTGGGATTTGCTTATTCTCTCTGTTGAATTTCATTTCATTTATTTCTGCTCTGATGTTTATTATCTATTTCTTTTGAACTTATAGTTTGTCTCTTTTTTCTAATTCGTCCAGTTGTAGTATTAGACCATTTATTTGAAATCTTTTACAAACCTAGGTCTTTATTGCTGTAAATTTCCTCTTAGAATTGCCTTTGCTATGTCCACTAAGTTTTGGTATGCTCTGTCTTCAATTAATTCATCTCTAGTTGTGTTTGTACTTTTTTAAACACCCAGTTTCTTCTTTGACCCTTCGCTGGCACCATTAAATGAATTTCTTCATTTTGTGTCTTCATTTTAACTCTGGTCTAGCTTTGTTTTTGTTTTTTAATACTTTATTTCTTCCTGGACCCACTAGTGGATCAGTGGTATACGGCTTAGTTTCTATGAATTTTTGTGTTTTCTAGTTTTGCTTCTCCTGTCTGCTCTTGTGAAGATTTAGTTTCTGAAACCCATAGGGAACAGTTCTACTCGCTCCTCTAGGTTTTCTATTA